CGAGACCTTAAATCCCATCAAATGACATCGAAATCATGAATCGTACCCCAATTCAAACTTAATAAACTTTGAAACTTCAAACTTCTACAATCGATGCAGAAACCTATCAAATCACGTCCGATTGTCCTCAAATTTTGCACACAAGTCACGTTCGACATTACAGACCTAGTCCAACTTTCGGAATCAGAATCCGACCCTGATATCAAAAAATTCACTCCCAGGTCAAACTTCTCAAAAATTATCCAAATTTCTAACTTCCGCAAAATGACCCCAAAATGACCTACGGACCACCAAATTCACTTTCGGACGCGCTCCCAATATCAGAATCATCATACGGAGCTATTCTCAGACTCAGAATCCCAAACGGACATCAATAACATTGAATTGCACCTCAACCCAGATTTATGAAATTTTTCCAAAATGCCAACTTCCACAATGGGCGCCGAAACGCTCTCGAGTCATCCAAAACTCGATCCGAAAATACACCCAAGTCCAAAATTATCATACGAACCTGTTAGAACCTTCAAATCCCGATTCCGAGATCGTTCACTCAAAAGTCAAAGTTTGGTCAAACTCTTCTAACTTAAAGCTTAAAAATTTAGAATTTTCTTTCCAAATCAACTCCAAACTTTCCGAAATTCAATTCCGACCACGCATACAAGTTATAATATCTAAAGTGAAGCTACGCAAGGCTTCGAACCGCCGAATGACGCGCCGGGGCTCAAAACGACCGGTCGAGTCGTTACGGTCATAGTTTGACTCAACACAAAATTTAGAAAGAACATGAGACTTCTGAAATGTGTAGTCTTAAATATGCCATAATATTTGTGTGAGTATAATGCTTTTGAAACTCATGGCCTTAATTAAATATGTCATAATATTTGTATGGCTATAAAACATTTCTATTACGGGAATATATAAATGTAAAATTCTGTTTGGAATTCACATGAATTTAGTAGAAGAAGACTAAACAAGTACTCCCTCGGTTCACTTTGCTGTACTTTTGCAGGGAGACCATGTCACGTTCTTAAATGTGTATAAAGGATTCATTTAGTCTAATAAATCTTCGCAGTGGTGTCACAAGAATTTTTTAAATTATCATGCCATGGTATTGGTAAGTCCGAGTCCAGCTTTCAACCCAGGATTTTGATGCATTTGAATGTTCTCTCCCTTTTCTTTCTTTTTTTATAAATATTTGTTAATAGTGTTTTGTGACCTATCTATTTATTTGGATTTTGAGGTGCCCCTCATAATATCGTTGATTGTTTTCCCACTACATCTATTTGTCTTTCCATTTTTATTGTGTTTCTGCCTCATATTTTCTGATCTGAGCCTATTTGATAACATCTGCTATTCGTCTTTGAAACAGCCATTCAGTCACAATGGGATGTACATGACTGTCAGAACGTCTCAAGAAGTTCATATTCATCCTTCATCTGTGCTGTTCAGGTATTTTTATATCATAGGTTTCAATGTATTATTACTTCACCTTTGCTATACTCTCTAAAGAAAGGTGCTACATTTCTTTATTTTTATGCGAATTTTTGAGGGCTTTCCATGTGGGCTTCAAACTCCGGGGAGTTTAGGCTCGCCCCACTGCCTCTCTCCCAACTAAAATACCAGGTTTTGTTTGCGGTAGTTTTTGAACCGTGAGACATGTGCCTTGCTTACACGTCACGTGTTTTGTCCTTACCACTGAACCAAAACCCGAGAGCTAAGAAGAGGCTATACTTGTTGAGTTGAATAAATAGTTAACAAATAGTGAATATTCCAAATTGTTGCATCCTATTATTGCATGGTTTGGTTAGGAATTGGTTCTTTATTGTCGCCATCTTTCCTTCGTATATGTACCTGCGTGCATCGACGCTGAACATCTTTTTTTTTTTTTTGCTTTGATCAGCGAAAGCATGGCTGAACTTATTTCGTAACTGCATGTTCATGTCCCGCACGAACACAGTTTCTACTCGAAACGGATCTTGTACTAACATTTGCATATTGTCCCTTATTACTTTAGGATAAAAAGGAAGAAACAATACTAGGTAAATAGTTAAAAGTTATAATATCCCAATATTGTGCTAACTATTGTACCTGTAATGTCACAACCCAAACTAACCCCTGTCGTGATGGCGCCTATCGTGGAACTATGCAAGCCGACTCATTTCCAAAATAAACCGATATTTTCATTTCAAAGATAATTTCAATATTATTTAACATAAAAACCTTCGTAAAGGAGTACCAATCAAAGTAAAAGTGCGGAAAAAAAANTCATCCAAAACTCGATCCGAAAATACACCCAAGTCCAAAATTATCATACGAACCTGTTAGAACCTTCAAATCCCGATTCCGAGATCGTTCACTCAAAAGTCAAAGTTTGGTCAAACTCTTCTAACTTAAAGCTTAAAAATTTAGAATTTTCTTTCCAAATCAACTCCAAACTTTCCGAAATTCAATTCCGACCACGCATACAAGTCATAATATCTGAAGTGAAGCTACGCATGGCTTCGAACCGCCGAATGACGCGCCGGGGCTCAAAATGACCGGTCGAGTCGTTACGGTCATAGTTTGACTCAACACAAAATTTAGAAAGAACGTGAGACTTCTGAAATGTGTAGTCTTAAATATGCCATAATATTTGTGTGAGTATAATGCTTTTG